AATGCGAATACCGTAGACCATGGAACAATGAGCTGTACGAGCTATATGATGATATTGGCATAGTTCAGGGAATGAAGAGACAGCGGCTACACTAGCTTGGTCATGTCATCCGAATGGATGAAAGTACTCCAGTTTTGAAAGTATTCGTTGCAGTACCCGTTAGAAGAGGAAGATCTCTACTCCGTTGGAAGAATCAGGTGGATAGCGATTTCGTCTTACTTGGTATTTCCAACTGACGCGAAACAACGCAAAAAAGGGATAAATCGCAATAAAAAAAAAAGAATAAATAACGGTACCGGCGCAAGAGAGAATCAAAATCATACAGTGGTGGACAAGAACGGTCTACACGTCGACCCCAACAAGGTAGCGGCGATGCTTCGGATTGATGTGCCGAAGAACGTAAAGCAGGCTCGGTAAATTATTTGAGTAGGTCTTTGAACAAAGGCGAATTTAATTATTCGACGAACGCAATGAGCGTCTAGAGGTTCTGTGGGCGGTTTGAAAAACTGCGCCATATGAGGAGGCGATTCGCCAGAGTAGAAAAAGGTAACAGGTAGTGAAAAAAACTTTCGTGTGTGTGTCACTAATGTGTTACTGGCGAACGATCAAGTCGAATATTGTAAAATAGGTTAGGGCGAGTAAAACCAATGCAGCCAAGCCTTGGGAATTGATTTGTGTGGATCTGGTAGGGGCTTAAGTGAATTCGTCACCCGTCGTTAACCGTAGTGAATTATTTGTCCAAATTTTCCCTTCTAGTTTCTTGGCGTATTGCCATGGCAACAAGCGTATGCAAACAATTGGAGGATAATGTATTTTTTTTGTTTGGAGTGCCGCGGTCGGTTGTGTGTGACAAGAGACACCAAATTAGGAGTCGGTTTGCTATTGCAAATGTCACAACAAAGTGAAAAGGGGGATAATAATCTCAGTGTTGGAGAAAGATTCAAAGACATGGAAGCTGGAAGTTCGAAAGCTCCGAATAGTGAGCCCTACCGTAGCATGACGTGCATCGAACAGCTTAGTCGTCTAATAGCTCAGATGATGCAGCAGAACGACATGATGTCGCAATGCATGAATAAAGTGCGACAAATGCAAAAAAACGGGCGTGTAACTGAAATGGAGACTTCAGCGCACTCCCAAAAATCTAGGGCAGAGAGAAAAACCCAAACGCGGTCGCGTTGAACAGGTTTCTAGTAGAAAGTCAGAAGATTCAAAATCTTGTGAGCCACAGAGATGGAAAAAGTAGACCCCGAGAAAAAGCATATAAAGTTCGGTGGAACTAGAAAAGGGATGAGTGTGGAAAGTTTAATTTTTCGAGTTGAAAAATGGCGAGCACTAGAAGTGGTATTAGCACTATGAAGTGGTATTGGCAGATGCTTGAAGACAAAGCAAACCATCCAGATTTTGGATATTTCGAATTGAAGGTAGAACTACTAAAACACTTCAGAACTGCTGAGTCTGACCATGAAATAATCCGCGAAATCTTAAAAAAAAGCGACAGCCTCACCAGAGCTTTGATGAGATTCGTAGTGATATTCATGCGCTTTTTTTCAACCTCCATCGTTAGATCTCTGAGAAAGAACTAGTAGGTGTGGTCAAGGGAAACCTTATGCCATGCGGTGCCAACAAAAAAAATCCAACAGAGGCGCGAAAAGAAACCAAGTTCAAGTCTTCTTTTCACAACATGTTGTGTTTTGCTTGTGGGAGTGACGCATCCTTTTGTGTATTCAAAAATCATTTCTGGTTAACTTTAACTTTTGGTATGAATGTGAAGTCAGCAAAGAGGCTAAAGGGGAACGTTAATGAGGCTAGGGTTTCGGAGCTGACAACCACTGACGGTAATTTATCGTTTGACGCAGTACAAAATTTGCTTTCGACCAAACAGAAAAATGCATTAGAATGGGTGAAATCCAAATTCCCTTCATTTTTAACCTTGGGACTAGGCCGAACAAATGTAGAGGAACACGCGATTGAAGTTGTTGAAGAGAAACTGCCGCTGAAATAGCGACACTACCCAATCTAACCTGGTATTCAAAAACTCGTGTTTGCTGAGCTGGACAGGATGCTTAGAGTGAGAGTTATTGAAGAGTCAAACAACATTTGGAGCTCCCCTGTTTCCTTAGTAATTAAAGGTACCATAAACCGTCTTTGTCTAGATGCTCGCAAGGTCAATGAACGTACCGTTAAAGACGCTTATCCTCTGTCACATATAGATGTTATTCTTAGTAGACTTCAAAATACCCGATATATATCAGCCATCGATCTTAAGGACGCGTTTTGGACGATACCATTGGAAAAAAATCCAGAGAAAATACTGCTTTTACGGTTCCTGGTAGACCTTTGTATTAGTTCACGGTGATGACTTTCGGACTCTGCAACGCAGCGCAAAGAATGTGTCGTTTAATGGACAAAGTAATAACTGCTCCGCTCCGTGATTGTGTATTTGTGTATCTTGACGATCTGTTAGTATGTTCTTAAGATTTCTCATCCCATATGTGCTTGTTAGAAAAAGTCGCGAGGTGTTTACGAGATGCAAAATTAACATTTGATGTAGAAAAGGGAAAATTCTGTTGAAAAGTTACAATACTTCTTTCGGATATGTTGTCGGGGATGGATGTATTTGAAGGGATGAAAATAAGGTAACTGCGATGAGAGATTTCCCAGAACCTAAAAGCCCAAGCAACTTTGTCGGTTCGTAGGCATGTAGGCTGGCTATTACCAGCGTTTTTTTCAAGACTATGCCACGATTGCAACTTCTCTGCACGACTGCCTCTCAAAGGACAAGATAAAGAAATTCACGATGACCGGCGACGCCAAGACATTTTGTGAGAAGCTTAAATCAAGATTGATAACAGGGTCGGTATTGACATATACCGACTTTGCACAAAATTCTTATATACAGTGCGACTCTTCGACAGACGGGGTGGGAAGAGTGCTATTCAAGCTAGACGACGACCGGAGTGAACGACCGGTTGCGTATGTATCTGCCAAACTCAATAACGCTCAGAAGAATTATAATGTGACTGAACTGGAATACTATGCGGCTGTCTTAAGCCTTTAAAGATTCAGGCCATAGGTAGAGGGACTACTGCATGCAAGTCTATAGTGGCTCATGCAACAGAAATACTTATCTGGAAGGTTAGCAAGGTGGAGTTTGAAACTTCAAAGTTTCAACTTCAACATCGAACACAGGAAAGGAGCGCAGAACATAGTGCCCCACACTTTGTCCAGGATGAATATGGAAGAATTTAAAGTGAGTGACAGGAAACTAGATGTATGCTTAGAATCACCATGTGTTTACTCTGAAGAATACGAAGAACTTAAAAGGACGGTGACCGAGGATAAGGACAGACCCTCAGACTTTTGTGTATTTGACGGTTACGTGTATAGAAAGCTCAATTTGACAGAGGGGAAGAAGTTCAAACGCACCAGTCCTGGAAGCTTTGGGTTCCAGTTGGCCGCGAAGTTGTATATCGTAGATTATAAAATCGTGCTGCTTTTATTTGAGCTGTCGTATTTTTGTAGAACGTGTGAGCTCTTTATTGGCAGCAACATTATCCACTAGCTCCTTTCTCGCTGACAACGTGGACTAAATATTTCAAATCCGTCTTAAAAAGCTTGCACATTTTGGGGTTGGTCCTGAGGTTGGCCTTTCTCAACCGCTTGAACTATCCTGCGTGATCTCGCAGTACTCGTGACTCTGATATCATCTAGACAGGCGAACGCATGCGGCTCCTGCGCTTCTGAGCCAATTGTTCACGGGTAGGCATCTGACACGGGTCGAGCATTCAATTGCCGGTAGTCGACGCCGGCTCCACTTTCTTTTATTTCTCTTTGCCAAGACTATTGGTGCGCTGTGCGGAATATAGGATTGTTCCATTCAGGTCATCTCAAACAGTTTATGTTCTAGTTGATAAGTTCTTGCCTGCGTCGAAGACCTTCTCCTTCACTTTGGTTCTTAATGAAGTAGATGCATGGACGTGCGAACATATGTGCATACGCATGCATGCTTATATGAATAAGTGCAATTCTCAGAAGAACAGTGAAGCAATAAATTTCAAGTGTCTATTAGATGCTAACCTCAGGGGGACGGAGCACTACCTTGCTCCACAAATCTGGAAGATCCGAAACGCACAATTAATTCCTAACGCATCAAATGGAATGGTCACTGCGCACCATCTCCAAATATCTCACCCGGATTTATGGGTATTATGTAATAACTCCTTCCCTACTCCTAAATATTAACTCCCTTCTACGCCCCAAGATTAGACACCGGGAAAAAGCAGTTTTTATGTTTATCCCAGCAAAAAGCTACCTGTAGACAAAATTTTAAGTGAATCTTTAGTCTTTCCCTGAACTTGTCCAAATATTTTAAGATCAGAATTCCATTAAAAACGACCACCTCATCATTTTGAGATCGTCACTATGAAACCATTTGTCGGTAAATGACATTTTTAAAACATTTGTCACTCAAATTGGTTCAATAGCCGCAAAAAATTACCTTAAGAACTTGGCACATGGTACCGGTTACATAATTATCATCGATAATCGAAATAGCGTCGTAAAATAGCTTTATACAAAATGTATTGAAAAATGAATTTCCTTTATAAACTTCTTTCGATGAATTTTCTCGGGAACCTTGGTCAAGAAAGAAACGAAAACCAGTCCAAATTGGTACGAATCTTCGAAATCGGTAGAGGCCTTCTTGACTTATGTATATATTTTGATGTGCATATGTAGTGTGTACACTAAAACAGATTGAGATCACAAATTAACTAACAATACTAAGAAATTTGCTATCATTGTATATGTAAGATTTAATTTTGTTTTGTATAAGGAACTCTGAATAAAAATACTTGAGGTTAATAGCTTAACTGGCTGCTACCAAGGTTGCTAAAGTTTATGGCCCTGAATTGCTACATATGTACGATCTCTGTATCATTATATCAACAATTAAATAGGGCCATTGTGTAAGCGCTCCTTGAGAATATTGCAATACTTACTTGTGCGAATGACACAAAGAAGAGTTGCTTATGCGTCAGATTTAGTCCCGGGAGTTTGAGTACATCAGCCTCTTTTGTAGTTTTTGATTTTAAAAACGCATGGTAAGCAGCTTTCAAACCACCGTTATCAGCAATATTTTCACCTGCAATACACATTTATTTAACATCTTATTGACTTCGTTAAAAAGTTATTTGAATATCAAGTACCGCTATTTACAGCGCCTCTATATACCTTTTTGTTGTTCGAAATTCATAAGAGGGTTACTGTATTTTCAAATATTTTAATTTTATAGGTGTTTTTAATGCAAAATGTATTTAATAAGCTATTATCCTAAGATTTGGCCCTCCGCACAACTTTTATGTGCAGGAAACGCTACAAATGCCCATCTTACATACCTCGCAGCCGAGTGGAAGAGAATATACCAACACTAGCAGAGAACTTATAATAACGAGAAGGTGCAATTAACTTTTGGTTCGATGCTCGATTGAAGTTTCTACAGAGCTAGAAAATCTCGGGAAAGGTATTCACCACTCTGCTAAAAATTTGCCTGCAAACTAACAGATTTAATAGTTTGGCAAAGAGAAATATTGTTATTGACTACAACAGAAGTAAAACCAATAGAAATAAATATAAAAGAAATTCAATGGAAATTAAAATTATGAAAAAAATATAAATAGATTAGAAATATAATGAAAACTAATAAGTCATTAACTTTTTAATTGTATTTCATGCCGCATTTTGCGGTTATTTAATTAAAAAAATATTATTATCTCTTAATCTTTTTAACTATCTTTTCACACATTTTTTATTTTTATATTCATTATTTAGAAATCTGCAAGAAATTTCTTTATTACAATAATAATATTTTATATATAATTATAATAAAAAATAAAATAAGTAAAAGAATTATGAAAGATATATAATAGTTAATACTTTATTTAAGCACCTTCGAAGTGAATTTGCCAGAGAGAAAACGTTAAAAATACAAATACGTACGCGCTAACTACGCAACAGTATAACACAAAAATGGCGGCCACGGTAGCCGAGTGGTTAGCATTGCGTACTGCTATTCGGAAGGGTCGGTTTCAAATCCCCAACATCCACAAGTTATGGAAAATTAATTTAAATAAAAAAATTAAGTTAAATTTTCTAATTGTTGTCGCCCCTCGGCAGGGAATGTCAACCCCTCCGATTGTATTTCTGACATGAAATAAAGTACCGCATTGAAAAAACATCAGCCGTTCGGAGGCGGCTTAGTATACAGCCAAGGACCTCCATTTGTTGGAAAAGCATCAAGACGCAAAACCACAAATTGGAGGAGGAGCTCGGCCGAAAATCGCTTCAGCGCTTACGAAGCGCCAATTATATTTTGGTGTAGTAAAAAGTTCGTTGGGTTTTTATCTAAGAGATGACGTTATTGTCCATAATACTAGTGTTACGTATCGCATCCTATCATACTGTACGGCGCTGAAACGTGTTTATTCGCGCTAAAAGTTTGTCAAAGATGGGGACACCAGCAAATAGAAAATTCGCTATATTCTATAATTTTTCTTCCAGTAAGGCGAAAAAAAACTAAAGCAGGTGACAAAATTTTATTTAGTTTATGGGCCCGATACTGTAAACGAACGTGTAGCACAAAAGTGGTTTGCTAGGTTCCGCTCCGGTAATTTCGATGTCAAAGATGTACCACGTGTCAGGAGGCCTGTCGTCGAAAATTGTCATAAAAATTATGATGAAATTAAAGATAAGCCAGAAAACCGTTTGGAACCATTTGCATAACCTTGAATCCTAGAATGGCAAGGAATCATCTACTACGAGCTGCTCTCCTATGGCCAAATGCTCAACTTGGTCCTCTAGTGCCAACAAATGGACCGGTTGAAGGCAGCAATCATCCAGAAGAGGCCACATTTGATCAACAGAGGCCAGATTGTGTTTCGAACAAAACGGCTCAAATTTGACTCACATCGGACAAATCTACACAAAGTTATCATACTTTGAAAATTCAATAAAAAACCGAGTACTTAGCCTTACCTAATATATTGTATAAAAGATCCATACATACACAAAAGCTTTGCTAACTTTTTTTTCCTTCGCACCCCGAATCAACAAGCAATTTCTTGGCAACGATTGAAAAGTTGGCAGCTTCAAGAATTAAAACGCGAAAAAGAATCAAGAGGAGGATTTGAACCCGCGCAGCTTAGGACAAAAATCAATCGACGCAAACCATCGCCCCACTGATTACTTTGAAGTATTGACAAAATCGTAAATGTTATTCTAAAGAATAGCTAGTATGTATGACCATATTTAATTCGACATATGAACTATGGGACTATGGAACTAAGTGCAATTGTAATTTCAGTCATTCATAAGACCCACAGAATTTTTTAATAAAATAAATATATTTGCAGCTTATATCCTACTTATTTTTAAATATATTTTAATATGTTAAATGATTTTTAAAAACATAACATTTTAGCATTCATTTTATATATTTATTTTTTTAATAATTTTTAGATTTATTTTTTTCATAGTTTTTTTCTCTCAACTTTTCAAGTTATAACTTGCTTTACTCTCTGCACAGGCAACGGGTTCTGAAAGCGGTTACAAGACAGGTTGATACGGCTGGGAGATATGTAAAATGGGTAGTTTCAGCATAATATGAGCTACGTTGGAATATAGACCGTACCCGCTTTTGTGAATTTCTCTAGCTTTAACTAGTTTGTCGGGCTGACGACTCAAAGAACCTGAATCTAGTTTGTCGGGCTGACGACTTTCTTTCCGATGGGTAAGCTGACACAAATTTTTCACGATATGAATGTCAATAAGTCGCATACGGCGGCTGAGTATAGAAAGATCCAGATAGTTGTTCCAAAAAAAAACTTTGCAAGCATATTGAATCCTGAAGAATGTATCAAGCCACTGACCAGTATTATTGAGTTTGACGGTACTGTCGTTTTCAAAGCGGTTGCAAATAATATTTATGTGCCCAATATTGTATTGCGTATGGGTAACACCCATGCCGTTCGGCAGACTACTATGCATTTCTATTAAAAATTTAATAGATGAGGTGTGTTCAAAAAGTATCGCGAATTTTGAACTCTCAAGGGTTACGTATAATCGAATTTTGTGGAGTTATGTTGGTACTCATGTCTGTTACTTATGCCGATAAGCGCGGCCATTTTGATTGTTCACTTAATTGTTGACAGCTGCTTTGCTTTTTGGATGGTCTTCGATTTTTACCTATTTAAAAAGATGGATCAAAGAACCTGAATCAAATTTTGTGTGAAAAACGAAATTAAGTGCGTGGATGCATTCCAAATGTTGACTGTGGCATACGGAGAAGCCTTGGACCGAAGCAACGTTTATCGGTGGTACAAATGTTCTCAAAAGGCCGAGAAGATGTGAACGACGAGGAGCATGCCAGACGCAAGAGCACTTCAACAACAGATGAAAAAATTAATTGCAGGGGCGTGGTGCATCATGAGTTCTGGCCACAAGGTAGAACGGTCAATAAGGAATATAACCTGAAAGTAATGCGCAATTTGCGCGAAGCAATCCGCTAGAAACGCCCGGATTTGTGGAAGAACAAAAATTGGCTTTTGCACCACGATAACACCCCTGCTCACACATCGTTGCTTGCGCGCGACTTTTTGGCCAAAAACAACACACGAATGATGCCGCAGCCAACGTATTCCCTGGCCCCCTGTGACTTTTTCTTGTTCCCTAAGCTGAAGAGGCCCATGAAAAGACGACGTTACGCTACGATTGACGAGATCAAGACGGCATCGAAGGAGGAGCTGAGCAAGTTAAGAAAAAATTATTTTTTGAAGTGCTTCGAAGACAATAAAAACCGCTGGCACAAGTGTATAATATCTCATAAGGATTACTTTGAAGGGGACAAAATAGATATTCATAAATAAATAAGTAATTTTTGAAGACACCTCGTATATATATATATATATATTTTAGTATTATTTCGCGTCGAGTTCATCTGTGGCTATATTCATTTCAAAGGTACTGTGATTTCACATTGTTTTCTGTAGATGTCATTTGTTTTAGCGTGAACAACAATTTGTTTCATTCATTTGAATATATCGAAATTTGTACCAGATAAAGTGTTTTTGCTTGGAACTCTTCTTCACTACTTTAACATGAAGAAAAGTGCTACCAAAAGCTACCTTATTTTACTGGATGGTTATGGTGGTCATGTTTTAGCCATAAGGGGTTTGCACGGTTTTAAAGTGGCGATTTCCACTTAGGCGACGGAGTGCCAAAAAAATTTTAAGACGAAGAATTGGAGACATTGCTCGACTCAGATGCATGCCAGACGCAAGAAGAAGTAGTATTAGGAGTGGATCAAGCAACCGTGTCCAGACGATTTTTTCGAAAAAAAAACGCACGAATTAATGCATACACCCAATATCTACATACATAAATACATACAGACATTTATGTTGTTATATATCATATGTGCTTACCTAATGTTTGTTTTCCATTCAAAGTTCTGCCATTCATTTTGTAGCTTCCGTATTGTTGCTCAATACATTTGGTTTTCTCGTTAAATCTTTCAATACTTTTGTTGTCCCACCATCGGTGTATATTACCGAATTTGTCGTACTCTCGGCCTTGATCATCGAATGCATGGGTCAGTTCGTGTCCCATAACAACGCCCATAGCACCGAAATTCAGGCTTTTCGGATTATTGGATTCGTAGAAAGGCGATTGCAGAATTCCAGCGGGAAAAACCATTTGATTTTTTGTAGGCGTGTAGTAAGCGTTCACCATCTGTGGTGTCATGCCCCAATGTGTTTTGTTTACTGGCTGGTCCAATTTTTCTAAATTGGTTTTCAAATTGTAAATGGCTACTTGTATATTGTTTTCAAAGTATGAGTTGGGTGTAACTTTCAAATCAGCATATTTTCGATCTAATTCTTCTGAATTCAATATGTAATCTGGAAAACCAATCATATCTGTAATAGCATTCGCTTTATCTTTTGCACGTTCACGTGTGCGTTTATCCATCCAGGTTAAATTTTGCAAATTTTCTTTAAAAGCGTCGCGAATTTCATTAATCATATGCTCGGCTTCCAGTTTAGACTCGCCGTGAAATACTTGACGTACAAAAATGGCACCGATGGCGAATCCAATAACGTTATTTGTATCCGCAACACAGTAGCGCCAAACCTCTTCACCACCGTCTGAACCCATTAGAGCTTTGCGAACTCCCTTATAGGCATCTCGAAAAGGTTTTGACAAGCAAGATGTTAGAGTACGTACCGCTTGCCACATGAAGTAGTTATTCAATATTCTACGAAAATATATATGTAATTAAGGTAGCTATGGCAAGAAGTTTAATGGGACCATGTGTAGAAGCTAGAGTAGGTCATACATAACCCAAAAATGTATGCCGTTCCCCGAGGTGGCTCATAGTTATCTAAAAATATGTTGTAAAAGTTGATTTTTCGACAAACCGAAATTCGCGAATAAAACTTTATGCTACATAGTCCTTCCAGAATACATAAATATCGCTTAAAGCAGGGTAATTTTCTTCAACGCGGCCGAAGGCCTCCTACTTTCAAATACTATGCAAGGCGAAGCCGTTGCTGGTTTGGCCTTGGGTAATTTTTTATACGCGGTCAAAGGTCCTCCAACTTACAAAGATATTTCACTTAAGAATTCTATGTAAAGCGAAGACGGTGTTGATCCTGTCCAGAGTTATATTTCTAAATGCGACCGAAGGCCGCCAACAACTGTTTCACGTTCGAATACTACCAAAGGCCCCTAACTTACAAAAGTATTTCACTTGAAAATACTGTGCTAGGCGAAGCAGGTGTTGGTACGTCGCAGGGGTTTTCCTTTAAACGTAGCCGAAGACCGTCAAATCAAATGGGTGTTGCACTTAAAATACATTACATCGTGAATACGTTATTTATTCGTTCCTATAAAATATACTTAATCTTGCAAATATTGTGGGGTATTATTATAAGCTTTATTGCTTTCAGTACTTTAACAACAAATTTCCTGAAAATTTTTAGTCACCTCGGAAAACGCCAAACATTTTTAAGATGTGTATGACTTAAGAAAATTTTTGTTCTGAGCCTGGCACACTCGTAAAACTTACCCGATCCCACTTTTGATGACAACGACCAAAATTGTTTTACGGTTAACATCAAAGAGTGACATCACCGCCGTCCAAGAAGTACGATGGAAGTGGCAAGGACGAGTGGGTCCTTGTGAAATATACTACAGTGGTCATATAAAGGAACTCAAAACTTGTATAAAATTTGTAATGAGAGACTCCGTCGCCGAGTACTGGCAATCACTCTGGTGGATGAACGGATGAAATTATTCAACACAATACTGATTTGAGACCTTCCCCACGGAAATAAAGAACAATATGACCTAGAGTGCTAGATTTCAGCAAAAGAGAACATATCAAGCTTCTTTACTGACCCGTGGTCGCAAAATAGAAAAGCATATTGATCATTTTGTGATAGACGGAAGACATATATCCAGTGTTCTTTTTGTGCGTACACTCCGAGGATCCAACATCGACTCGGACCACTATCTTGTTGCAGCGAAGATACGCACGCGCCTCTGTATATCGAAGAACTCCAGTCAAAAAACACAAGTAAGCTTCGACGTCTAAAAACAGCAATAACAGCAACGGTTTTTTACTCGTCTTTCACACCTGCTTTCTGAAAGAACTCATCAGCATTTCGATATAAGAGCATACCTTATAACGTTGCTATCGGCTACTACGCAGAGAGCTGAGGAGGGAACCAAGTCGTATGTGCATACAAAAAAAGGAAGCAGCCGAGGTACATGAGTATTAAGAGCTTAAAAAGCTGGTCGACCAGGCATTTCTTCAAAAACATACGGCGACTTATAGAAGATTTCAAAACCCGAAGCAAATTCTTGTAGTACACAAAGACTTGACTTAACACCTGATGCAAGGAGTGTACTGAGTTTAGAGAGGGAAAACTTCTCAAGCCTGTTGAGTGGCAGTAAAAAAAAAACACCCCGAGACGTCGAATCCGATACCCCAGTCGATGACGATGGAAAAGACCTTCCATTACCGGACTAAGTCGATGTTCGAATAGCGATTCCCTACTTGAAGAAGAACAAAGCAGCTGGAGTTGACGAATCACCGGCAGAGCTATTCAAACATGGCAGTAAAGAGCTGACTAGATGCATGCATTTGCTATTTTGCAGAATGTGATCGGACAAAAGCGTTCTCGACGGTTGGAATTTAAGGGTTCTCTGCCCAATCCATATCAAACAGGGGACCCACAGTCTGCGCAAATTACCATGGGATTAGTATTTAAATATCGAGTACTATGTGAAAGTCTAAAGCACGCCGTCAACAAACTGATTGGACCTTATCAGTGTGGCTTTAGACCTGGTAAATCAACCATTAACCAGGTATTTACCATGTGCCAGATTTTGAAACTGACTCGAGAAGAGAGGATCGACACACACTGATTCTTCGTCGATTTTAATATAGTCTTCGACAGCTATATCTGAGACTTATTCGGCTGTACAAACTGACGCTCGACTATACAAGAAGCTCAGCCAAAATTGGGAGGGACTTCTCAGAGCCCTTCGATACCAAATGTGGTGTCAGACAAGGCAACTCCTTATCATGTGGTTTGTTTTATTTATTGCTTGAGATAATAATAAGAACTGCTTACCTGAATAGATAATGTATTTCTACAATGGCTGGCTTAAGCTCATAATATTAATAACATTGGCCTGTGTGACATTCCTCATCGTACCTGCTCTTTTTGACAGTGCCGAAAGCCAATAGTTTTATATACGGCTGCTAGAGAGCTTGAAATGCCGTCTCATAGTTCCTTTATACGGAGTTGCTCTCAGCGGGCAAGAATTCAGGTCGAGTAGAAAACTATTTGGCAGTACGTTGTGATTGCAGCTCTTTTACGTAGAATCTTCCTTGGGTTTATTAAATTTGCTCAATGTTGACATCAATGATAGGACCTAGGATTGTACACAAGTCTAAGACACTGGTGCTACATTTTTAGTACTGTGCATAATTTTTTATTTAAAATAATTTTCTATAACTTTTGGTTGTTGGTTTGACCAGTGCCTTTTGACTGGCAGTACGCAATGCTTACTCTGGCGAAAAAAGTAAAGCACGATTTTGACACAGTGGCAGGCACTCACAGATGCAATTTAGGCGCTCATCGAAAACATTTTCCATCTGCCATAGGAATTGTCCCAAATCTGTGAATGACAGTCAAATACTTTCCTCACTTGCGCGTACTTCTACTTATGGTCCCATGAAATATATATGCGTCTTCTAGTTTTAAATGATGTGTCTAGCTCAACTACTCAATTTTTTTTGGATTGTCAAGACATAGTGAAAAAATTTGTTACGTTACTTATATACATATTACAATTTCACATTGCTTAAGTAAACGATTCTTCTTCGAACTTAGTCCCATTCTTTCATATTACTACTTACATTTTTCCTTCAACAGTTTTTTCCATTTCCATTATGATATCAGATAATTTCTCAAAAAAACTAGGTGCATAAACAATAACTACTTCAGATTGAGTGATTTTTCGATTCACTAAGTTCATAGCATCATTGAAATGTTCGGACCAGTTCAAAAATGGTGCCAATTTTTCAAGTTCCCATAATTTCATAGGATGATACATAGCTTCCTCATTTCGCCTTTCTTCAAGTGGCATTGAAATATTTGCTAACTTCGTTTCAAAACCAATAACGGCCTTCATTTGTCGCCGGGCATCAGATTCATCAGCGCCAAGCAATGCACAAACTTTTGTCATGTAGTCTATATATTCGGCTAAAACTTTACGGTGGGTTTCCGTTTTGTTGTTGTAATAGTCTGGTGTTGGCAATGTCAAACCACCTTGATCGATTTGTATGACATGTCGGGAGGAATTTTTATCATCCTCGCCAACGGCCCAACTAAAGAGGCAGTTGAAGTTATACCTTTGGAGCAAAAGTCAATTATGTAAAAGAAATTGAAAAACTGTGTTTGATAATAATAATATAAGATAAGTATATTGAAATCATTGTATTTGGAACTGTGTAATATTTAGCACGTTTCTGATATCGGAAAAAGGTGAATGGACTTGCTACTTTGAGCTTACCTCTCAGATTAGTTCCTTTAATTTACTTATTTGTTTATTTTATATTACTTCGCAATAATAACTACGGATATGAGGTTAGAGGTGCTGACCGAAAGGTATTGACCGCAGGTTTAAGTAGCGGTAGATGTTCACTTTGATGTCCCACCGGTAGTAAGTATTACCGAACAAGTACAACGGACAACTGTATTAACATTCCGCTCAAATTTTAGTTGCGACTGTGGCTATAATAGGATTATTATGGTTATGAGTTCTTATATAAAATGTTGAGTTATACTTCCAACGAGCTTAACACTTTCCTACAATTTTTAACAATACTGAAGTTTGTTGTTTGCAATCCTAAGCTGTCTCTTCCCATTCTTCTCACTGAGGTTCAAACGCTAAAACTCATCACTGGTTAGTTACATCTATTGTGAGTCTAATTATTTGTGCATGGGGCTGCTGTATGGTGGCCTGCTTTTAACAGGGCGACAAACGTTGACCTCCTAAATGAAATTTGAATATCAACTATGAACCTTTAAATATGATTCTCTATATTTTACCATAAGGCTTCATGGTTTTTCAGATTGCAGTGCTGGCTGAAATTATTCTAAGGGAGCTAAGTCCATGAAATTATCAACGATTTGGATATTTGACTTTCTAAAAAAATTGTATTTAAGACTACCCGATCAATGCGTTGTATTTCAGCCATTATGAAGGCAGCAAATTACATTGGAACTGTACTGCTAAGCAAAGAAAACTTTATTTTCAGCTAAAGTCAGACAGTGATCAAGTCGCTTGTTTACTATTCAAAGATTAATTCGAATTAAGATGATATAGCAATCACTGATGATGTACAAGCGGTAAGAATGATGAAGAGCAGGAACTGGTGATTCATCTCTTGGTGACTGCACATGGATCATAATGGCCTTAGTGTGCTGATGCTTACACTTTGGTGGCCACTTAAACCTGACCTAATCTAACTCCGCTAGAAAGCTGTTAACTTGGTTTGACAAATGAAAAGGGTGCGAGATTTAATATTAAGGAGGCTTATAATCATACAGATGTGCATGCATATATATAAATACATGCCCCGATTAGTATTATCATGTCCTATGGTAGGGTAATATGTAACATCCGGGAATTTTATTGAGTACGAATGGGATGAGTCCATGATTTTATACAAGGAATGTATAAAAACGAGGAAATTGCATTACATTAATTACATTGTATAAAATTGAGGACTTATCCCATAAATCGTCTTCAAGTTCTCAGCACGATTTATTCAAGTATATTGAAAAATATTCTATTTAAAATTGCACATATCGAAATAAAATAAATATTTCGCACCGGTTTTAGCACTGCCGAAACAGTATAGAAAACGGTATGTAATGTACATATATAGTGTCTGTATTTATCAAGATCTTATACCTTTTTACTTATCAACATTCATTTATGAAATAATTATATTCAAGGAAGTATAATAATTTGTACCTGTTTTGCACTACTTTTAACGTTTCTGCTAAATGCCATTTAGAAACATCAAATCCACTTTTTGTAACGTTCCAGCCACCCAACTTCCTTAAAAAAACAACCAATGGTTTTTCACCTAATTTCTCCATTTCTTCTCCTTTATCTAAACAGGATTCGTAATAGATTTTTGCTTTTTTCTCAGCTTCTGATTTGAAACCTTTTAATGGTTTTTCTAAAATATTTCTAATAATTACTTGATTCATTTGTTCTAATTTGCCAAATGTTCCCCATGTCGATTTGCCTTCGGGTATTGGATTGTTTTTGGTCCACTGATTGCTACAGAGAAAGAATATTATTATAATATTTTGGTTTATAAGGGACATATTCATAAAAGCTTTCTACCATGCATAGGCGTAGAAATCGTCACAAGGGTCGATACTTTTGTCGATAGATCTTAAGATTTCATTTGCTGCGTATATACAGTGCTCATTGAGACATGGAATTTCGTTTTCTATTCAAAAAAGAAAGAGAAAAGTGTTGTATTATTTAAAAACTTATTTTCGAAAAGCAAAAATTAAAATTTACGGAAGTTACTAAAAAGATATATATCTAATATATAAAATTCTCGTGTCACAGTTTTCGTTGCCATACTCCTCCGAAACGGCTTGACCGATTTTAATGAAATTTTTTGTGCCTATCCGATATTTATGAGAATCGGCTAACATCTATTTTTCATCCCCCAAAATGTTAGGGGTACTCCACCCCTAAATTTTTTATTTTTATTTTTTAGACAAAATTTTTAATTTCTATTTTTTTATGATACAACATACAAAAATACATACAGTTCTCAATTTTCACCCTCCTACGATCAATCCTTATTTTTTAATAGTCATTTTAGTAATTTAATCATTTTTCCTCTCCGGTCGAAAACTGATCAATCGCCATTTAATTAGTTATCCCGCTAGATGTCACTTCTGACCTAGTAAACAGCACGGAGTAGGGGTGAGAACGAAGTAATTTAATTAGTTATCCCGCTAAATGTCACTTCTGACCCAGTAAACAGCACGGAGTAGGTATGAGAACGAAGCCTTTCTTTCTCACTCCTTACACAGTTGTCGGCCATCATTATTGTTTATGCATCAAATATAGTAGTAACGTTGACAATTATTATTTTGCTATCTCAGTGTAACTCTCGTATTAACTTTTAATCATTCCTATTTTATCAATTCCTATTATCAATTTTGAGTGAATTTTGCACGATTCGTTAATTAAGTGATTTTATAGCCTAAAAAGTACTCAACACGTGACACGAGATTCAATAACAACAGATTTTATGTTGTAAGTATACTTTTTTTATTTATATCGAAAATGTTGTTGATAATATAAAAACGTAATTTTAATTTAATATTATTAAAAAAATGTAATTGAACAAATAAGATTTTCATAGTTTCAAAAAATAAATCATTATGAATCTTTATTTTGAAATGTCAATGGAAATATTGGTTGTATGCACAAATTATAAGAGACAAAGTTTTCATAAAATTTAATTTTTTAGTTATGTTTGAAAAATTTTTAAATAAAACTTATATATTTGTTATAATTACATAAATTAAAACTAATCATTTCAAAACTTCGGCAAACAACCTGGCCCTAATTATACTTTTAACATTTTTCATCATTAAATAATTTTCTTAAATCTATTTAAATATGTTTTGTACAGTGAGCAATGCCAAGAATACGCAAATCGCATCAAGAAGAGCCAGAAGATACAAGAGCTGAACGCAATGAAGTCAGAAGATTAGAACAACGACAATCACGCTGTTTCACAGTCAATAGACGAAGAACAAATGACCAACAATGACAGATACATCGAGCATTTATATCTGATTCATTCCTGCGTCTAGCATTCCAGTATGAGCCCGATATTGAATATTATGCTCATTCAAAAGTGGTAATTGGTGCTATGGACAAGGAATGTCCGCATTATCATGCTCTGAAATTCAAAAAAGAACCAGCTGGGATATGTTGCGCGTCAGGAAAAGTGCAACTACCTGAAATTGAAACACCACCTGAACCATTGAACGGCTTACTTATCGGCACGGATCCAGATTCTAACGTGTTCCTGAAGTTAATTCGAAGATTCAATTCATGCTTTCAAATGACATCGTTCGGAGCAACAGAAAAAGTTCAAAATACTAATGCAAATGGTCAACAATTCAATTCTTCTTTCAAAATCAGAGGCCAAGTTTATCATAAAATAGGCTCACTGCTGCCAATATCAAACGAACCACATAAATTCTTACAAATCTACTTTATGGGCGGCGAGGATTCCGGAAGCGCACTTGCCACTTGAATGCACGTTGTGATTATACAATAAGAACCTTGATTCACTTTATGCCAGGCGCATTGTCAGCGAGCTAGATGCTCTTTTGAACGAGCACAACGAGTTGTTGAAAATATTCAAATCACATATGCACCAATTACAAAGCGATAATCACGCTATCGTCATTAATCCTGATAAAACACCAGCTGGAGAGCATATTCGTAGATTCAATGCACCCGTTGTTGATGATGTTGCTGGAATCATGTTTGGCGATTGTACAGCTGCACGAGAAATTATGATTCGAAGAAGAAATAATAATCTTCAGTTCATTGCTGACACACATCGTTCATATGACGCTCTTCAATATCCGCTAATAATCTGGAAAGGGCAAGACGGATATTGCATAAACATAAAACAACGAGATCCCGTATCAGGTACTTCATTGATTACTAATTTGATCATTAATCATTTAACAAAACAATTAAATTATTGAACGTAATAAATTTAAATTAATTTTTATGAAAAAATATTATAGGAGCTGAAACAAACAAGAACGTTAGCTCAAAGGCTTATTATGAGTACCGATTAATGATTAGACGTGGCCTGGACAACGTCATTTCACGATGTCGTGAGCTTTGTCCACAATTCATAGTCGACATGTACGTGAAGATTGAGAGCGAACGACTACAATACTAACGATATAATCTACAATAGCTGCGCGCGGAAGAGTACATTCATTTGCGAGACGCTATCAACAACAACGCCGACGTCGCCGAAATTGGTAACCATGTCATTTTACCATCATTGTACGTAGGCAGTCCACGTCATATGCAAGAATATATACGGGATGCTCTGACTTTCGTGCGCGAATATGGACGACCATGTTTATTTATCATGTTCACATGTAATCCAAAATGGCCTGAGATTACATCTTTGCTACTGCCTGGCCAAAATGCAATACATCGCCATGACATTACAGCACGTGTGTTCAGTAAATCACACACGTTGCTGGATGTATTCGGTTGAGTGGCAAAAGCGAGGATTACCTCATGCACACATTTTGGTTTGGTTCATTGACAAAATCCGTCCTGAAGAAGTCGATAGTATCATTTCTGCGGAAATTCCAGTTCCATCCACTGACCAACTGCTGTTTTATATTGTTACAACAAAAACGATTCATGGTGCATGTGGCGCTCTTAATAGTTCATCGCCTTGCCTGGCTGATGGAAAATGTACTAAAAATTTTCCTAAAGATTTTACCAATGATACGGTCACAAATGTCGACGGATACCCAATATAAATGAAAATGAAAATGGCGGACAATCATTTATTAAAAATATAATCAACACAGCCATTGATTTTGACAATCGTTGGGTGGTGCCATATTCGCCTCTGCTGAGCAAGACATATAATACTCATATTAATGTTGAGCTCTGCAGTTCTGTGAAGGGAATCAAATACATATGCAAGTATGTCCATAAAGGCGGTGATATGGCTGTTTTTAGAGTGGAAAATACCATTGTGAATGCTCCTCCAGTGAATAAAAACGATGAAATAACGCTCTACCAATGAAGCTGCTTGGCGTATCTTTGGTTTTCCAATTCATGAACGGGATCCAGCAGTTGTTCAGTTAGCCATCCATCTTGAAAACGGTCAGCGTGTATTTTTCACCAACAAGACAGCGATTGATCGTGCAATAAATCCACCTAAAACTACACTCACTGCATTTTTTGAATTGTGTAATCGTGCGGGTGATTTTGGTGCCTTTGCACAAACATTACTCTATTCACAAGTACCACGCTATTTCACATGGACTCAAACAAAAACATGGATGCCCCGCAAGCAAGGCTCACCAGTTGCTGCATGTCTCAATTTATTTAAATCAAACGCATTGGGGCGATTATTTACAGTCAACCTAAGACACACTGAGTGCTTTTATCTTCGACTGTTGTTGGTTAATGTTACTGGCCCATTATCATTTCAAGATATACGTAAAGTGAACGGGCAACAATATCCAACGTATAAAGATGCATGCCTTGCATTCGGCTTGCTGGAAGACGACAACCATTGGGAATGCATGCTTGCTGAAGCTGCATTGAACTGTAAAGCAATACAAATTCGTCTACTATTCGCTATAGTGTGGACTACATGTTTCCCAGACAGAGCACAGATATTATGGGAAAATCACAAAGATTCAATGACTGATGACATATTGCATCAACATCGTATACGGTGCCACGATCTAACCATAACATTCAGCGACGAAATGTACAATGAAGCATTGATTGCTATTGAGGATCTTTGCATTGTCATTGCCAACTTACCACTTAGTGATTTCGGTATTAAATCCGCAAAATAGAAATGCATATGATGTAATAAATACTGAAATGAATCGTGAACAGAAGTACAATACGGTAGAAATGGCAGCGATTGTTGCCCGCAATGTCCCACTAATGAATGAGGAACAAAGAACCATTTGTGATCGCATTATGCTCGCAGTTTCAGCTGGACAAGGTGGGTTCTTCTTTTTGGATTCACCGGGTGGAACTGGCAAAACATTCGTTATTTCGCGAATTCTTGCTGAAATACGATCAAATAATGGCATCGCATTGGCCGTTGCATCATCGGGCATTGCAGCAACTTTATTGGATGAAGGTAGAACAGCTGATTCAGGATTCAAGCTGAAGCTAAATATTCATAATAATCCTGACGCAGTATACAACATTAAGAAACAATCGTCCATGGCCACTGTGCTGAAACGGTGTAAAATTATTATTTGGGATGAGTGTAATATGGCACACAAACATTCATTTGAGACAAACTATTTGGCGGAACTCTGTTGGTCCTTTCAGGTAATTTCAGACAAACACTTCCAGTCATTCCACGTTCAACATACGCTGATGAGATCAATGCTTGCTTAAAATCATCTCCATTGTAGCGTAATGTTGAAAAATTACAGCTAAAAATAAATATGCGCGTTCAAACGATTCAAAATCAATCCGCTGAAACATTTTCAAAACAACTCTTAGATACCGGTAATGGAAAAGTTTCTATAGATGAAACTGGATACGTAAAATTACCGACCGATTTCTGCACAATCGCTGATTCACAAGATACTCTCATTGAAAAAATATTTCCCGATGTACACACACAGTACATAAATCATGAGTGGCTTGCAGAAAGAGCGATTTTAGCGGCAAAAAATGAAAACGTTGACCATTTAAATTTAAGGTTCAAATGTTGTTGCCAGGGAACTTGGTATCATATAAATTTATTGATACAGTTTGCGATGAAAGCGAAGCAGTAAATTTTCACACAGAGTTTTTGAACTCACTGGATTTGTCAAGCATGTCACCGCATAATATACAATTAAAGGTTGGATCTCCAGTTATCTTGCTTTGTAATTTGCACCTGCCCCGGTTGTGCAACGGTACGCGATTAGTCATTCAAAATTTAATGAAAAACGTGATCGAAGCCAGGATTTTAAATGGCAAGTTAACAGGGGAAAATATACTCATACCTTGGATTCCTATTATAGCTACAGATGTGCCAATTCAATTCAAACGTATTCAGTTTCCGATTCGATTGGCATTTGCAATGACTATCAATAAATCCCAAGGTCAAACGATGTCTGTTTGTGGCTTAGATTTGAGAACACCATGTTTTTTACACGGACAATTATACGTGGCATGCTCTCGATTGGGTAAACCATCCAGTTTGTTTGTGTTGGCTAAAGATGGACTAACAAAAAATATTGTTCACGCTTTAGCATTAAGAGATTGATATTGTTTAATAGTGTTACT